GGGCTCAGCCCCCACCAGCCCGCCTAGGGAGCGGCTGGTCCCTGAGCCCCAACAAGCTATTACTTTCTGGAGATTCTTGCTTCTCCCTGCTGCTCTCATCCCTCTTGGAGCTCTCCATCTGGACCCCTGGTCCCAGTCCCTAGAAGAGACATGGAAGAATTTTTGCAACGCGCCAAATCTAAACTGGTAAGTTGAAGCTTCAGGGGTGCGTGTGTCCGGGCGTGGGTGTGTGCTGCTGCAGGCAGGGAGGAAAAGGTGTGCAGAGGAGGATGAGGATGAAAACAACTTTGTAGCGTGGTTGTCGGTGTGTGCAAGCGGTACCAGCAAAGAACCTTGGCAACTCTCTAGTATCAGCGATCTTCCCCTCACAGCCAGGCAAAGTGGAGAGAGAGAGAGGTGAATTGGTGAGGCCTGTCTGAACTGATGTGACTTATTTGCCACACAGTCCCTTCGTCCTGGCCTCACTCCCAAGAGAGTTTGCTCTCAAAGGACAGTGGGGGAACAAGGGCGCTCCTCCTCCGGGAGAAAAAGAGCCCCAGCCTTCCTTCCTTCCATAGATGCAAAAGACCTGTAGGCATGAGAAAGGAGAAAACAAAAAACCAAACCAAAACACAACCAACCAACCAACCAAAACACCCCCCTCCCCGAAGTTCTGGGACAGTACTTTGGCTGAGAGTGGCAAAGCCCTTGTGAGGGCCAGGGCTCTGCCTGGATCAGAGTGGCACTCCCTCAGAGCCTGCTCAGCACAGGGTCCACGAGCATCCAGGGTATGCTGACTCTGGTTTCTGCTCCCTTCCACACCCTGGAGCAGAGGCAGAAGGGGATAGTCACAGCCTCTTGATACCCTTCCACACCCTGGAGCAGAGGCAGAAGGGGATAGTCACAGCCTCTTGGGTTGATAGGGCTCCGCACGCTGGTCTGGTATGTTTTACTGTCTGAAAATGTAAACAGTGAACCAAAATTTCACTGTGTATCAGCAGTTGCCACCCATTCTGAATGTGGGACCACTTTTCTCTAGCATGGCCATAATAATCATATGGTAAGTGTTCAGTGTTGGCACTTAAGAAACAAAAGCAGACCCATTTAGAAGCTGTATCTTTTATGGAGACCAAAGTACCTTTATGGGTCTGGCATAAGAGAAAATGCATAATCTATGGTGCCTGTAACCTTTAAACCTTCACAGAAGCCAGTACTAAAATCTGTTGAGGTAATGCTTCCAGCACAAGGCAGGATGTCATCTATTTACTGGACACAACAAAGGGCAGGAAGGGCCTCCATGCAGGATGAAGCTGGAAGTGAAGCTGTACAGCCTCAAATGTAGATAGCTTTTCTTTCTTTTCCTCTTAGTTTTTAAGAGAGACCATTAAAGTTGATTAATGCTGAGACTTCGTTTTCTACTTTTAGTCCATGCCCTCCCCTCAGCCGATCAGCAATGAGTGTTTAGGAGATTTGATTCAGAATAGAGAAGTTTCTGATCACTTCTGTGGTTGTTTGACTACTTAGAAGTTTTACAGAAACACACAGGGTAGGGGAGTGGGGAGAGAAAAAGCAATTTACTGCAGGAACTCCATAACTGCCTTGCATCTTTGCTGGAATAAGCACCCACCGTTCTTCCCCTAGGAATGGGAGAAGTTTGCTGGAGAGGTAAAGTTAATTTTTTTGGCAGCTTATGGTATGGGCCTGTGTGCGTAAGTGGTTAATGATGAAGTGTAAACGCAGAGTTTGGGACTGCAGCTGTGGTCCATCGCAGCTATTTTCTCGGTTTCTAATGGCAATGTTCAAATTGTGGGGTCTGCTGGGAGTCTCATTTCAGAACAGCAATGCTAGGATGGAAACTCCCTCTCTTAGAATCATCAGCAAAAAAAAAAAAAAAAAAAAAAAAAAAAAAAAAAAAAAAAAAGGGATGCGTAATTTATTTACCGAGTCCCTTCATTAGGCCAGCAATTGTTCTACATCATTAAAAAAAAAAAAAGGAGGAAAAAGGAGGTTGTTTGAAGATGTTACCAGTTTCCTGCATTAGCCAGAGGAACAATTATAGCTAAATTGGTCTTTTCCTAGAATAGGCTTCTGGCTAGAAATCACAATTAACCTTTCTCTCTCAGCTACCACAAATGTATTTGGTCACTTTTGGTCATCAAGCATTTCTCCTAATGAATATTTTCAATAATAAAATTCATGCTTAATATACAATATTCAAGAAGAGATAGTAGTTTTACTTTAGCTGGTGTTTTCCTTAGGAGGGTAAATCATGTCTGTAATCGAGCCATTTGTATGTAGAAAGTTTATTAAGGAAAGACATTTACTGTTCTGATTTTTGTACTTGTTTTAGAATGATAATTAGAATATAATTATGAATAAACTATTTGCAATTCAAAATTGACATAAATTGATCTTTATGATATTTAAACTGCCTGACTGCCAGATTTTCCTCTTGTTTTATTATTTATTTTGATGTCTTGTATATGTGACATTTAACTTTGTATGGTTTAGAATAATGGAGGTTCCTTCCAAGGTCTGAACATGGGCTGGCTACTTCCAGGAGACAATGGGACTCTAGACTTGTGAAGTTGAATTTCTGTGAGCCATGGTTATAATCTCCAAGAACCAAAAACTTTGGAGTTCTTAGCCTGGTCAGGCCTATAATCCCAGAAACTAGGAAGGTTGAGGCAGGAGGACTACAAGTATTTAGGATTCTCTGGGCTACAGAATGAGTTCAAGGCAACCTGAAACACTTGATGAGAGCGGATCTCCAAAGAGAAAGTGCCTGTGAGGCCTAGGTTTCCTCCCAGGACTATGAAGCAGATCAACACACAAACAAAACACTTTGGAGAGATTTGCCTGCTTTTCCCTACTAAGAATATGTGTTTCTTGTCTGTTATTGAGAGGAGAGTGTTTTCATTCTAGGCCAGACCCTGTGTTAAACTAAAAGGAACAGAGTCAACAGTATAGCTGACAGCAAGGAACGAGCCAAGGGTAACAGCAGATAGAAGGTGCTGCCATTGGGTTAGACATGCCTTCTAGCCCTCCATGAAAACACAGCTCTGGGTAACTACTGCTGGATATTGATATGGGAGTGAGAAGGCATTTTCCTTTTCTCAGCCAGTGTCTCCTGGCTCTTCCTCCACCTGCTGGCTGGTTCAGAGTTGAAGCAGAGGGGGAAGCCAAATCCTGCAATTCAGATCAGCCCTTCAGGTTTCTGTTCTGTTAGCCATTTGTGTGGCAGTGCCTTGGCCTTTCTTAAATACACTATTCCTTTGTAAGAGAGACTGAAGAAGAAAGGTAAGGAAGAAGAAGGGTTTCCTGCCTATGACTAGGGAAATATTTTCCACTTTTACAGAATTTCCCTCAGAAAAGTGTTCAGGTCAAGATCCAATTCATGGAAGCAAACTCCAAGCTCCCATGAACTTTGGGGAAAAATTATAACTGAGGAATCACCTAGGGGTGGCTAGAAAGCCGCTAAGTGTGGCTGGCAAGAAGCCAGTGTCCCCATACAGGGTAGGCTAGTTGCTGAACCTCTTTTAACCCCAAATACTACCAGCTGATGCAATTTAGGCAGCTGCTGATGGGTGGGGGCCACTGCCACCCACACGCTGCAACGTGTAGACCATGAATCAGCCTCAGGGGCGTCACCTGCTGCTGCTGGAAAAGCAGGACACATCAATATCCCAGGAATGCTGTTTGTAAAGAGAAAGTGAAGAGAGTCCAGGGGACACATGTGCCACTTTTAACAGTGACAGCTGAGGCACTTGCGTCTGAAGTTTGGCTTTTGTCAATTCATGGATTTCTGTAGGAAAAAATGGAGGGTGAACTGAATGTCAATGTATACTCTGGGATGCATAATTCCAGGGTGAGGGTTCACATGCTAAACTCTTCATGAAGAAAGCATTGGAGAAAAGCTCTGCCAAGTGTTTCAATGGGGAATTGAAGCAACATATTTATCCTGAATGGATTTAAATTCCTTTTTTACATTTGTGTGTGTGTGTGTGTGTGTGTGTGTGTGTGTGTGTGTGTGTGTGTGTGTGTGTGTGTGTTGGTCAGAGGTCAGTTTTCAAGAGTTGGTCCTCTCATTATGTGGGTTCTGGGGATCAAACTGGCGTTTGTCACCCTTTACCCATTGAGTCATCTCTCAGAACCTTAAAAAGGAATTTTTAAAAGAACTTGGGAAAGGACTGCAGTGTAAGGTGCAGCTATGATGGAGAAGCTACAGAACACATTTGAACAGGGTTGATGGTATTCTGATCCAGCACCACAGGATTGGCATCCACTACACTATAAGCCAGGCAGATGCTCTGGAGTTGCTACCCTAGTTTGATTTTTGAAACAGGGATGTTTCTAGCCCAAGCTAGCTTTGAGCTTGTGATTCTCTGCTTTACAATCTTTGGGATTACAGTCACGCTCTACCTTGCCTGGCTTGAGTCAGTGCTTTTTGCCCAGAGCATTTATGAACAGGAAACTGTGGCCTCCAAAGCACTCCTCTGAGTAAGTACAGTGTCATCTGCTTGCACACTGATGAGAAATGAGCCTTTGGCTAGGTCTAGAGTCAGCTGGGTTTCTCACTGTGGGATCATCCAGACCAGCAGCTGAGAACTGCTTTAGCCTTAGGACGTTTAGAATAGAACCCAACCAAAGCTTTCCCAGCTAACCAGATGTCAGAGTGTAGTGGTCTGTCTCAAAAGAAAAGAGGTGTTCATTGTCATTCACACACCAGCTCAGGTCCTGGAGGACATGTCATCAATGGAAAAGGTGCTTTTCAGTATGTGGTTTGGGGAATAGTTTACGTTACCCAAATAAAAAGCTGACAGGTTGGCGTAGCACTGTTTGAGTGGATATTTGTGGTTATTTTGAGTTTAGTGCACAAGTCTGGGGCACTCTTGCAAGCCATGGTGTCTTAGTGAAGTAAGCTTATGTTTTCTTGGTATTACCCCATCTCTAATGTTCCATCTTAACAGAAAAGAGTGGGAATGGGACATGGAGATGGATGAAAGCTGTAAAAAAGGAGAGAACATGCTGTGTGGTAGTGGCTCATGCCTTTAATCCCAGCATTCAGGAAGAAGAGGCAGGTGGATCTATGTGAGTTCAAGGCCAGCGTGGTTTACAGAGCAAGTTCCAGGACAGCCAGAGCTGTTACATAGAGAAACCCTGTCTCAAAAAACCAAAAACCAAAACCCAACAAAAACAAACAACAA